GTGCGGCGGATACTACCTATGTGGTCTCCTCCTTGCTAATATATGACATAACTGTTGAAAAAGTAAGGTGCAGCTAACGCAAAAGCCGAGCAAAAATTAGATTTAGTTAAATTATATATCATTCGATAGAACTCGTGACGTTGGTTGAGAATAAATAGTTTTTATTCGTTTAACCTTGCTTCGGGCAAGAAATTAAAAAAACCAAAGCTTCTTAACAGAAACAAAAAATAGCTATTTGCCATGGAAATCATGGATTACTCAAAGTGGCACTGACTATTTTCCACTGAAACTGTTTTATGCGAATTCAGCGTAAAAAGCTGTGCTAATTAGATGAGTTTGATGAAATTTCATTACCCTAGTTCGATTCGATTAATTTCACAAGAGTCACTATTAACCAGACCGATTCATCCATCTTGTTAATGTATCTCCTTTGCTACGAGGGTGGAGTGTGGGTGTAGATGAAGAGAAGAAACACAACCATAAATACACCAGACTCTCTGTCGGCAGCATATTAGTTTTAATTCATTTCATATAAGATTGTCCAGTAATAAAGACCGAATGTTGCTTTACTTTACTCCACTATTACTTAAACCTTCCATATCAATTAACTCTTCAGGCTTTCATATTATACAGGCTTAAATAAAATATATTCAAGCTAGCATGCTCTTGCCACACGTTGATGATAGAATGGAAACAGCTACGAAGTTCTACAACATCGCTTTGACGAAAATACATAATATAAATAATACAAAAAAAGAAGTTAATATGTAATGAAGTATAATGTAGAACCGTAGTGCTATTTTATTCCGATCTTATTTCAATTCTCATTTATAGAAATAGGGTGTGGGTTAGAGATTCAATTATTATCTCATCCACACTCACACCCACACCCAAAATAATCCAATTCAACAATATTAAGAATAAAAGAAAAAAGTTATCTATTAATTGTACGTAAATGAAAATTTATCTGCTATATTGTGCATGAAATCTGACAATTTCTTTGAATAAGATTGTACAGATCTGAATTTCTTCTGTTTTTTTCATTAAATATTCATTTAATATTAGGAGAATAGTTGAAAAACCTATTCTCTGTACATCTATTATTGTCGAGTTTGTTCATAATACAGACAAAAGAATAATTATAAACAAAAAGAAAAACGAACATTCTACATTTCCTACATCGAATGTAATATTCATTCATAATAAAAGATTAGTTTGAACAATATTAGACCTATGCTAAATAAATTTAAGATTCAATTGTAATTCATTGACCTTTTTCTCCTTCATACAATCCGGCACAGAATTGCATATCAATATTATTGATTGAACCAGAACAGTTTGGATCGTGATTGACTATTGCATAAACTTGAACTTGTTGGAGATGATCGGCTGATTCTGAACTTTCTGAAGTCATTGTACCCCAACCAATCGTAACAAGATGCGTGTCATTCTTTGGATATTGCCTAATAGAAAATGATGGATCGACACGATGTACACACGTTTTAGCCAACATTTCATTGTGATGAAATATAAAGGGACGGTCAATATACAATAAAGCAATATCATTACGAAAGTCATTGAAGAAGTGAGTATAGTTTGGATGTAGATAGATACGAGAGACATTCTGTTCGTAGACAATCCGATCTGATTGATTTGTCATATCTGCAGCCACACTCATCATGCTTGACCATTCTACATATTTCCATACACAATGAGCTGTAGTAAGAATATGGGTGTGGGTGTGGGTGGGGTGAGGGCGTGGGTATGGATGTTGGTGTAGGTAAATAGATCAGCATACCCACACCCACATCCACACCACCCACACCCGAGCCCACACACCCACACCTACACCCATCTCACATCCACCCACACCCACACCCACATCCTAGTTATGGGCACCTCAGATATATAGCCTATGATGACTTGTGGGTACCCCATCATATAGCCTATGAAGGATTTTGGGTACCTCGTTAATACTCCATGAACAATATAGAAACCTAATAGGATAGTCCATTGGTAGTGCAGAAGCAACTCTTACATTCACATGAGCGTGAGTTGTACACCCTTAAACATTCCGCTTTTTAATACAGGAGCAGACAAATGAACTTTTCCAAACTGAAATTTTAGAAAAGTTTTTACTAAAATGAAGTAAGTTCTGCAATCTGAAACATTATAAGTTTATTGTATTAAAAACACTTTTACATATCGGAGCTAACCACATTCGAATTATCATTCAGCCTAAAGTACTTCTGTGCAATTCGCAAAACAGTCTTTCAAAACTATCGTAAATGGAATTTTCGTATTCGATCAATTCAAGTTCATTTGGCCATGCAGATTTTAGTTTTTGTTGTACATGATTAAAAGTCGTTGCTTCGGCCAAGGCCACTTCTTGAGTTGATTGATTGTAGGAATAAGTACCAGGTGGTGACCGAGACTCTGATTTTGTACCTTCAGCATACGTAATATTTATACTATACTCCCCATGTGAATTTCGTTGACATAAGAGTTTACCAAAGCAAAACGTGTAAAGGTTCCGTCCAGGATGGACTGGTTGAAAAAAAGAAAGTTCAATTGATTCACCACCGATTTCATCAGATTGATATCGATAACGTTGGCGCAGAATGTTATCTCTTGACGGACGTCGAATAAACTCTCTGATTGCTCTAGTGCACATGTTTCGAAAATGGTCTCTCTCTATTGTATTAACATGTTGCAGTAGTTCATTCGCAGTCACTTTAAAAACGCATATATGTGTCAAACTTGTACTCGACTGACTTCGTAATAGTGCAATCATAGGAGTAACGTAGCGATTAACAAAGAACCTATTGTCGGCATAGCCATTAGTTGCTGGATGTGGTATCCTGCGAATGCAGTCCAGATTAAAAACTTTCAGTGACCTTTTGTTTCTGGCTAAACAGAAAGTTAGAAAATGCTCTCTTAGCATCACAAGAGCCTGAATACAAGTGAAACCCGTTTTCCTCACTAGCTTCAAGAAAGCAAGACTTTTATTTACCTTCTGATCGTGTTCGTAAAATTTCCTTAGTTCTGAGAAATTCTTCAATTCTTCTTTGTAGTTCATGGTTGAGCAATTTATAGGTCGGTACAACGTCTCCGTATTCAATAACACGCCATGTCAAATAGTTTTCAACACTCGCACTCCACTCTCCTATATTTCGCCCAATTAATGTATTGCCTCCAGTGGTCTCGCAGACTTTGTCTGACCATTGTACTGTGGAACGGTTGCTATTCTGATCATTCAAACTAATACCCCCGCCAGCTCCTCCATTGTACAATCCGATACCAACTTTGAATGCTGCTTCTACGCTATTCTTATGTCCAGTTTCATCCAGGTTTGCATTTACTGTCTGGGTATCTGTATGAAACAATTGTCCACCAAGAATAACACTTTTCGGATAACATTGTCCGTATTTTTGAAACACAGTTTGTAGTGTCGTGTCTTGTTCCTGTATGGTGGGTAAGTCTAGTGCTCTTTCCACTGATTGTTGGAATTCTTCGGTAGGCGTCAGATATTGACGATGTTCTTCGTCATCATACAGGTACAGTTCAACTCGTGGAAAGTTCCACGCACAAGTTGTATGTAATGTCTTTGTCTCACTTGCTTCAGTTTGCTGGTAATTATTAGTAAAATCTGTAGCTAATGTAAGAAATGGAGACTTAAAACTGGCATCTAGTTTTATAAGTTTATTACGTATAAATATATTATGACGCTCACTATTAGCTAGATATGCATGCACTTGAGATGTATCACGTATATTAAAATCTGATGTTGTCAAATTTTGATTTAACTGACAAACCGGGTAGCGACTTGCTTTTGGCATGCCATCATCAAACTGGAGACCTTTAAAAAGATTACAGTTGTGAAATATTTGCCTCCATTTAATGAGGTCGAATTCTGAGAGACAACTCTGGTGCTCTCGAGATGAAGCTGATGAGGGTGCGCTGTCTGGTATAGTTGCTGGATGTAACGCTGCGCTAAAGGATGGAAACGCTCCAAAGTTTTCAGTTGTAGCAGATGAAAAATTTCGTAGAGGCAATTGTCCCAATGAGTTATTATTCGAGTCAGATTCTTCCATAGCTTGCAGGACAACTACACCATCTTTCAACAAATTTGCAATTAATGTAGTTGCTTCGTCTCTACTCGCTATAGGATATTTGTCAACATTTAAAAATAGCTGTTGCCTTCTGATTGGCCGACGTTCGTTGATAGCTGCCCGAAGAGTGGACACTGATAAGTTTTGGTCAATGGGTACGGAGATAAAAGGGTCCTCGCCTACTTTTACAAAAATTGTTTGGGGTTGTGTCGCATTTGCCATTCAAAAAGAACAGTTGTGTGTGATGATTATGCAGTGTTACGAGCATCATAAATTTGCAGTTTTTATATTTCTCGTGTTTCTATTAATGGTTGAAAAAATCATGAGGTATAGAACGCAAATATTTGTGAATAATTTCTCTCTAGACAAGACTAATCACTTTATCGCAATGATATTTTTATCGTTGTAACTCACCTTTACCAAATTTCGTTGTTTGAATTCAATTATATGTATTATTCATCCTTTTTAAAAGAAGTAACATGATACCTTTGTGTTCTTTTTCTTTTCTTTCTCTTCCATTCTAAAGTAATTTTTCACATGTCGATTAAGGCCCCCCCCTCCCCCTCAGAAACGAACTTTGTTATTTTCTCATCCGATTTCAACCAAAATTTCAGAGAATGGTAGTCTTGACTAGAATAGCTTATGGTTAAAATATCTCCCTCAAATCTTAAAGATATGCACAAGTTCCAGTCAATTCATTACCATTTATGCGGGGAAGGTTTTCACAATGGGGTTACTAGCTAATCATGTCGGGGTGGTTTTTAAATTGTAGAGTGACCTTAGGGCTAGATCCTCACAGGCTCCGATTTTTGAATTTTCCTTTGTTTGATTTTTAAAAATACTTTTTCGAAAAATGTTCAAATTCAAAGTGCTAATAAATATGAAATATCTGAGTTTTTTATTTCAGCAAAAGAGAAATTCAAAAATCGGAGCCTGTGTGGATCTAGCCCTAACTGTCCTCTATTCAACAAAAAAAAATTATCCCTTCTCTATTGAGTCATTATTAAGAAATCCTTCCCTGCGTAAACAGTAAACTCGAAAAAATTTATTTTGAGAAAAACGAAAAACAAATTTAGAAATGGATTTTTTTATTCAAGCTCAAAAAACAATATATGAAAATAGCATATTTCAGAATTTTGTCGATGTTTAAAACAAAAAGTGTAACTATAAAATAAGTGGCATTATACAAATTGTAGAGCTTTTCACGCTGCATCTTCTGGTATATTTTGTTTTGTTTTAATACAATGTATTAAAATAGAAAAGCAACGTTTTTCCGTTTTTGAAAGGCTTTCGAAAATGTCTCGAAAAACATGATAGTAGGTCCCCAATCTCCTTTGGTAAGTGTATTAAAACCTGGCCTTTTTGGAAAAAAGGCATATATTTTCTGACAGAGGAGGCTTCGGCGCATCTTCCTATGATAAAATCTCAACTTCGAGTTTTCTTCGAAAAAATATGTTTGCTGAGAGGGGGCCCCCTTAAAGACATCAATACTAAAAACTAGCTTCTTGCGAAAAAAGCGATCTTTCCCGTGGTTATGAGTTCTGTATGGTGGAGTGAGTCTCATTACCATTATCATGATTTTGTACCGGTTAGGGGACTCTTCAGACGGTTTGTGTAGCATACCTGTTCGAATCATCAGAAACGATCCCAAACAAGGTATATAACGTATTCCCATTCAAGTAATTTCCAAGAAATTACCGAAAGGATAGGTAGCGTGTAATAGGGATGAATCTAACTACCGTTATCATGATCGCGTCCCTGCTAGAAGACTTTTCAGACGGCTTTGATATTATGCTTGTTCAGGAATGATCCGAAGACCATTAATATGGATCTTGGGTGTGGGCGTGGGTGTGGAGTGTGGAGTATGGGCGTGGGTGTGGAGTGTGGAGTGTGAAGTATGGGTGTGGAGTGTGGAGTGTGGAGTATGGGTGTGGGTGTGGATGTGAGTGTGGATGGGTGTGAGGGCGGGTTTGGCTGTGATTTTCTATTCGCTTACGCCTACACGCACCCGCACCCGCACCCACACCCACACTCCATCTAATTGGTTAATTTTTTGGGTGCTCAGGCCTGAGCAATCGACTTCTTAAGGGCACTGAAACGTGATCGGCTGATTTTCAAGAGCGCTAAAAACTGATTCGTCGACTTTTTAGCATTCTGAAATCCGATTGGTCTATTTTTGGGCCAATAAGATTCAAGAACAAAATTTTTCACTTATTAGTCGGAGAAAACAGGGGGAGGTCACTAGGCTCATTTGAAAGAGGACCATCGATAAACTCTAGATTGGCCTCACAATGACTATGTTTCATCTAAGTAATAGTAAAGAAAACACTTGCTAAAATCTTTTTGGTCTATTTGTTTAACCAATCAGAATCCGCACAAATGGACTGGCAAGTCCTGTTAG